AACAAACCCAGCCATATGTTGCGGTCGAAGATCGCGTAGACACGCATAGCGCCAAAAACTGATTGTCCAAGAAACATGTCAGTCGCGCCGCATCTGTTAGCTCTATGCGACATACGTGCACAGCCGACCAACGTGAACGATCCGGAAGCAATCTGAAAGTCCTCAAGTACTGTGCAGCTGAAATTGGCTGTAAGCAATCGTAGGACAACCTGGCGACTCCCCCGAATCGTGATACCAACCTCTACATCAGACAAAGGTCATTATGCGTTAGGTCGAAACTCAAATTATGTATCCTTACGATCTGCGACTTGAAAACCTCCGCAGGCAATGCCGAGAAAAAAATGATTGCTGCACTGCACAGCATCCAGTATCGGATGAGGTAATATAATATACTGACGAAGGTCAACTTTGACTTCCAGATATATCGAACCTCGCTATTGAACGTCAAAACATAGTCGTAGAGGAAAACAACTGCGCGTATACGGCCTGCGTCAGCTGCGAGTCGCCTAGTCCGAATCAATCAAACAACACACCTGATGCCGAGTATCTCGCAGCGCTCGAAAATGATCTGCACGCCAAATAGCTAAACATAGAAGCATACAGGAGATCATGAATGTACTCACACTTCAAGATCGCCGTCATTGCTTGACATTCCTCAGAGACACTGGGTGCAAAAGGCACATTGTCACAGATTGAAGACACGTAACAGTTATATAGGAAGGCGTTGCCGAGGGCCATGGGACGCCCATCACCCCGCCGGTCAAGTGCGCTGTCCCCGATGCTTACACGTGTGCGGCCCGACATTGCATCCGGGGGTAGGTATGCAGCATGCCTTACATGGCGCGCTCCGGGCGTTTTTACATACAGACTTTGAGCTGGTTAACACTCAGACATGTCGCTGGCACCGAAATCGCTTAGCGGAATCCTTCCGATGGTACTAGTCACTGCTATTGATAACTTTTAATACATTTCTTCAAACTCCCTGATAGCAAATGCGCGCGGGGAACTGGTTTCCCCTCACTACACGCGCCTTTACAGGAGAGCGTATGGCATTGTGACAAAAGATCTATGTAAACAGCCCCCCAGCACATGCAAACAGCCCGCTTCGATGTCAAGAGATTCATACAGAACTCACAGTGACGGTAGCGACGCCGTGATTCGATTGATGGGCGATCTGTGGGCCGCTCCCAGGAATAGCAGCATGAATTGCCATCTGTCAGTCACCCGCGGGGATCTCGTAAGCCTTGGTGTTGGTAACCTGGATCCTCCCTGGATCTTGCAGATCTGGAGCATCGCCGAGTGTCTGCACCATGCTTGACACGCACATAGAGGGCAGCGCTGCCTGTGATCTGCCGGGATTGGTCGAGAGTGAAGCATCTATTTTTGATCCGAGTCCGAGACCGATTGTTGAGATACTATTTCACGCCGGCGAACCTCATTACTTTCGACATTACGATGCCCATTGCCGGGTGTCCTCTTCCCGAAAACGTGTCTTAAAGTGCTATCGTAATACCGGGTATACTTATACTCAAATATGAGATATTAGGTTAAATCGCACAATGTACTCACCAGTTCCAGGAAGTCAATGTGATGCTCTTGTAAACACAGAAGCAGTGTACCCGGCAAACGAAGGGACGATCTGAGACTAAAGCCAACAATTTACCGGGTGGGCGACGTCACCCTCATTGTTGCCCTCTGTTGTGACTCTTGAAGCCCCAAAAGGGCCGGTTGACCTCCATAGCAAGCTCATCATCTTGTGAGCCGGTTAAGCTGAGCTGACATCTGCGATACATATGTTCAAGCTGGTCAACGGTCCCGATCGGCGCCAGCTCGCATCGGAATTAGGACCTAAGTTCGAATCGAAGACATCACCCTGTGCGTGCCGGAGATTTCACACATTTCTTGGCCAACAGAGGCTTAGTAACAAACCTAGTACATTTTGCCGTTCGACGCTTGCTCATTTCCTCTAGATTTATTCGCTTGTGCGTACAAAACGAATTTTGTCAGCATCGTGATGTCTGATGATCTGACTGCCAATGGCACTGACTCGATGGCGTAAAGGATGTCTTCTTGACTTGTTCTGATAGACTTGGGGCAAAACATCTATCAGTGGACAATGAGAATCACACAGAAATATGATTCTGACGAGCTTTATTCCCACAGCGGCACTATGTGGAGGAAATAGATTCCCCATGCGGTCGCCACTCCACTTATGGATGCGTTTCCTGGAAGTCCTGGGAATGATATGGTCCATGCAAGAGGTATGTATGGGCGAAGCTGCGAAAATGGGAACGAGGAGAATGAGTGCTTTGTCCACTGCGTGCAGTGGTCGTCAAGTAGTACAGGAACCTAGCATGATAAATCACGTGAAATTAGACTTTGCACCAGGAGTCTCATACCTAAATAACAATCTGTAGGATACTGTTAACGTTTACAAGTAATGCGACTGTGGCAGTAGAGCTGAATCGGAGCATCGGAAGATCTGCTTCATCTGGGTATGCCGGGCGTCTCGAGCGCCGACTCGACTCTCACGGCGACACGCGCGGTGCTGGTGCCAATATGTTATTGAGTACGATCACGGTAAGTATTCAGTACTCATGGAGAGCTGGCAGCATCTCTGGCAACGCGGAAAAATGCACCATGCAAAGTATAGGAATCCAACATTCACCCCGGTTCATCCAGAGGTCTCAGAGATCCTTGTGCCAGTGCCCCTGGGCTACCACTTACGATCGATCGAGGCTTAGACATGCCGCAGCAGTGCTTTTCGACGCAGCTGAGGCAGCATGGAAGCCTCGTTGCCTGAGTTGCCTGACGGCCGCACGGCGGCCCGTCTTCATGTTCGTTTTCCGGTACGTGGTCCGTCTTTATCTCTCCTTGTATGTCTCATGTCTTGTCTTTTGCCCCGCGCCTTCCCATAATGTCTGATACACTCGCTCTCACCGATGCGCTCTCCTTCAACATCCTTACCACCCCGGCTCCCTCAGCGCCATCGACGCTCACAACTGCTCCTGTTTCTTCCCAAGCAACCCAAGTCTCGACCGGCTCACAGGCATTGGACACCAGTTTGGCCCTTTATATTGACACTTTCCTCCTCATCATCGTCGCTCTTGTCTTCCTGTTTACTTTGCCCAGGGCTCTAAGTCGCATTATACATCTTCCACAATGGACCGACGGATTCCTTCTCTACTTTTACCGCAGGAGAAAGTTCGAAAGGCGGTCTCGCGACGCAACCGATAACTCTGTACGACAGAGTAGACCTTCTCCCCGCCGAGGCCATTCTAACTCCATCTCTATCATTCATGCCGAGAACGGCGAGAAACTCAGGAGTACCAAAGTCAACCTCGTGTATTCCTCCAACGTGTCTGGCAATCTCTCCGAGCATTCATACTCCAGCTCAGCTGTTACTTTAAACCCTGCAGTGAACCTCCCAGTGCATATGTTCGCATGGTCTTCCATCTTCCCAGCGGTTGCTTCACTATTCTCGATCCCGGTGTGGCCCGGATACTCCGTGGGCAAAGTGTCGTTGCTCTTGGGATACTTTTGTCTTATGTTGTTTGCCGGTTTGCTCCGTTCGAATCCGTTCACGGATCCAAATCGATCTGCTCTTTTGGGAACAAGTCAGGTGCCGGTTGTCATTGCTCTAGCGACAAAGAACAACGTGCTTGGCGCTCTTACTGGAATTGGGTATGAGAAGGTTATTTTTCATTTTTCTCGTGCTCAGAAGAGCCAAGAATTCACAGCTGTCTCACAGCTTAACTATCTTCACCGGTTTACTGGGAAACTCTTCGTGTTGGCAGTCAACATTCATTCCATCGGATATAGTATGTATTGCATTTTGCAAGTATCTTTCCGTATCATGGTGTACTTACATGCCGTGTCGCAGTCTTTCAATTTCTTCTCGGCGGTTCGTTTAGCGAACATGTCAACGATGAATTGATCTGGGGAGTTGTTGCGCTCGTCTGTGTGGACATACTTTTCTTCTTCTCGCTGGACTTCTTCCGCCAAATGTTCTACAATATCTTCCATGCAACACACGTGATTTCTGCGGTTATCATGATGGCTGCAGTGCGTTGAATCAAGCACTTCCACTGTAACATATCTTTCTGACACTTCCATGACCATCTAGATCTGTATGCATGCACCGATCGCAATTCCGTACATTTTAACTGCAGTTGGGCTATACAGTTTCGATTTGGTCATACGGCTTCTGAAAAGCCGTGTGACTACTGCTCGATTACGGACAATCCCTGAACTGAGTATGGTCCGCCTCGAAATCTCGGGACTCAATGCAGGCTGGCGCGCGGGTCAGCATGTGCGACTCAAAGTCCTATCTTTGGGCATGGGTTGGTGGGGGTGGACGGAAAGTCATCCATTCACTATTGCCAGTGTTAGCAGTGTATGTTATTTTTCTTCTACATTTGAATTTTGGCAACAATTTTCTTCAGGGCCTAAGCGACGAAGGGCTTGTAATAATGTGCAAAAAGGCGGGGGATTGGACAAATAAACTATTCGAGCTGGCCAAGCGTACTGAATGGTGCGAGGCAGGAGGGTTCAGTAGAAAAACCCAAGTTTTAGTTGACGGACCTTATGGTGCGTAGCACATAGATTTTGGCTATGACTAGAAAGGATCATAATCTCTCAATCAGGGGGCCATGGGCATACAGTCATTACTAGCTTTTCTGGTGCAATGGTGGTGGTTGGTGGCAGTGGGATTACCTACGGGCTTTCCGCCGTTCAGGAACTAATAGAGCGAAGTGTAGAAGGATCTAGTCGAGTGAGGACAGTGGAGCTCGTCTGGAGTGTGCCAGAACCATGTCAGTTTGAACCTTTTTTCTGATCCATGACTGACAGTCTTACTCTCCCAGCGTCGCTCTCTCCTTTTCTTCCTCTCTTTGCGAGCTGTCTCTCTCGTTCTGCGTCTTCTTCTTGCGTTCTACATATCTCCGTCTTCTATACCCATGCACTGACTTCAGTAGATGCACTGAAGCCATTTCGCGCATTACCTCTGGGCTTATCACTCTCCCCTGGTCGTCCTCGTTTACTAAAAATTCTAGAGTGTGTGATCGAGAGCACGATGAAGTTGCCTGAAACATCTACGGGCGTATTTGTAGGAGCATGCGGTCCTGCTAGTCTTGTAGAAGAGTCGGGAAAGGTAATCTGGATGGTCAACAGGCAGAGAATGAAGGATGTTGGAGGTATTGAGCTACATGAAGAGTGCGAATTCCATCTCTATGTCTGTTACCATCCTGACTAATCCACCGTACGCAGGATTTTCGGCTGGTGATCACGGACACATGGATGAACAATATCATTATCAGTATTTCGGACATCACACCTTATAGATGTACCTGTGACATATGCTGTATTCCACATAAAAACGGTCTGCTGGTCAGACCGTCACGGTAATGTACAATTACGATTTAGTCACTACAGGACCGCAAATAAAGTTGCCTCTATTTCGCTTGTAGGAGTGTTAAGAATTTGGACTACTGGTAGAATATACGATGAGAACCTTCGGAATGTAGCACCATAGAATCGTTCAGGACACTAACTTGGATTGGAAGTAACAGACACTGAGGCTAGCGGCGGTCCCTTCAGTCGGGCGGGGACGCCACCTAACCCTAAGTGAGGGGTCAAGCTTTTAGGGAGCGTGACAACATCCGCATGTGATCAACAGTCACATTGCCACGCCACGACCGCGTTCAGTCGCCTGCCCAGCGCCCGACGCGACCACCGTCTTTGTATGGTTTCTACTAGTTCATGCAGTAAATAGCGCGTATGATCACGATGGAGACGCGTCTTTTGCCAGGTATGTGTTCAATATGGCTTTTTCAAAGTATCCACTAATACGCGTAGTCAGTGCGCGTCCTCTACACTATTAATAACAATCCGCAATATATTCTCGCTCGCTCGTCCCAGCCGGTTGCTGTCACTCTCATTCCTACGAAATATGCAAAGTCTCTCAGTCCTAACCTTTCCGACCTTCCTACTGCGGCGGGTTTATATTACGGGAAAGCTCCCTTAAAGGCATGCCTGGAGGCCATCTGTGCATCGAGGTACTATCTGGCTTCGTTGACTCTAGTGTTGTGCCATGCTCATACATAACTTGCAAGTCCGGAACTTATACCTAGTGCAGCCCGCGACTTTTCTGTCTATCTGCTTGATCCTCTCGAATCTGCCCCGTCAGTAGCCGATCACTGCTTATCTCAATTTCCAACATTTACATATAATGTTTCATAGTCCCGGTACTACAGGCGAGAAGACTAGTTCCGCAGTTGCCGTAGGCTATGGATGGATATCTACATGTCTTCAAGATTCCCAGTCTCATTCGAAAGTCACCGGTACATTTTTGGGCGATGGCATTCGCGAAGACGCTCTCGAAGTTATTTTTGCTATCAACGAAGTTAGTCACTCTCTATCATAAAATTTGTTATTATTGCACTCCTTTTCATGTCTTACTCCCGCTTGCTTGTACCTACTCTCTACATCAATTTCATCTTACTGACCGCAATGACATCGTCAGAGCCAGCGCATTCCCTCTTCTACTCTTCTCGCGACATCCACCTCTACCCCAGCTTCTATGTCCACCGTGAGGGTTCCTTCAACCAAGAAGTGGACTCCTCCAGACACGAGCAAGCCTGTCTTTACAACTGAGCCACTACCACTACGTCCTCATGTCTACGCATCTAGTGTAGCTAGCTTCCAGAATTCCTTGGGATCGACTTCCTCATTGCGGACAGGTGCATTGAAACAGGAAGCATCGGGCCGTCAAACGCAGAGTCTCAAAGGGAGTACATCTTTACAAGTGCAAGAGACCTCCTCCGCTTTCGCGGCACCAGTTCATCCTCCGTCGCCAAGTACTTCCCAATCCAATGTCACAGCCACGGAAGCCAATTCCACCCCTACAGAAGCGCTTCACGCGCTGCTATTCGCACTGGCCAACTCGCAGGGAAAGAATGCAGAGTTGCTAGCTGCGCTTGCTGCTATCGACTCTGCCCAGAGTCAGAATGCTGGTGAGCCTAGCCCCGTTCTCGTAGACGCTTTGAGTCGGTTGTTTGGCGCGGCCGCAATGCAATCCACCTCGAGCGCAGAACTTAAACAATCTGGTACATCATCGTTGCCGAATGTCACGAGTAATTCGTCCGTGTCCTCAATGCTCCCCATGCCTGGATACCCAATGAATGGCCAGATCTTGCATTATGCTCCTCCCCTCTCGTATCAGTCTTCTGGCAGTGGGTACGTGGGTGCTGCCCCTCCACCACACACATTCACATTCCAGCATTCGCATCCTCATGTGTTGCATGCTCTCGGGCATGCTTACCAGTGTGTAAATGAAAGTGTTTCTCCGAGCAAACATGCGGGTGAGCCGGAACACGATGATGAAATTGTGATACTGGACAAGGAAAACGTCGACCCGGACGCTTTTCGACGGCGAAGAACCTCGGTGGAGAAAAACAAAGGCAAGGAACGCGCAAAAGAGCAACAAGACGATAGAACGGCTCGATTGTCTGCGACGACTCCCATGACACCTGACGCCGTACAACACTACCGGGACCATACAAATTATGCAAATCCCCTGTTCCCCCCCGTACCAAATTCCGCCAGTGTACGGCGCGGGTCAAACGCAAATATGGCCACCGACGTAGAAACGAAGGCGAGAAAGAAGGCGACGTTGGCGGCTCCCCAAGGCCTATCGCGCAAGCGTACACTGAGTGAATTCATGGAGGAACGGGACCGAGATCGTGATCGTCAGCGAGAGTCCGGATGGAAACGTGGTACCGATCCCAACGTTGGTCGGGTCAGCTCGCGACCACATCTGGGGATCCACAACGTGAACACTGTAAGTGCACATGCCATGTCTGACCCCGGCATAGAGCTACCATTGGATTCGGAATCTGGGCGATATGCGTACATCATCCCTGCATCTTCCCCCCCTCGGCGGTCATCAAAAGGAAAGGAGAAGGCAGCGGATGAAGAGAGTCCTTCGAAAAGGAAGAGGAGAAAACCTTATGTTGTTCCAGAGTGGGCGAAGACAGTGACGGCGATGCTCCCACGATTATCAGAAGATATGCAGGCGCAAGATGGTAGTGATCATGATAAGGGGAAACGAAAACATCGCAAGCTACCCTCGCAGAGAACTGCGAGGAAGAGGAATTCGACGACCGGTGTGGAGGGATCTTCGTCTAGCGTCTCTAGAACGGGCGGAGGTATGAGTGCTTCAACACCAGTACCGCAGGCTTTGCTGCCTCCATTATCTATCTCCTTGAAACCCAACCGAGAAAATAGAGACGGGACGCCAGAAAGGGCGCTGCCAAGGCCTATTATGGCGCATACATCTGAACTCGTGATTTTCTCTTCACCGTCGACGTCACGCTTACAGCCATCAAATTCGTCATCTCTTATTCCATCATCCGATGGACTACTAGATGTGCCTTCAACTCCCAAGCGTTCACGACGCACATCGCCGAGTGACGGTGAAGACGATGGTTCGCCGCTGTTTACTCCAGAAGCAAAAACATCGTCACGGACACCGAAGTTGCCGAGTCTCTACAAAACATACGCACCACTATTGTCGCCACTTCGCTCATACGAAAGCAGCAGCAGGTGGCCAAGGCTGTCAAGCGGGCGAAAAACTCAGCGCGTAACGGGGTTACCATCCGAATCTTCCACCACGAAGGCAACATGTGCAAGAAGAAAGTCTAAATATGACGACCCTTTTTTTCTTGATGACGACGGGGATGCACCATCTAGCTCCCTGCCGATAGCGAGCAGTGATGTAGATTGCTCGAATTTTGATCACGACACATTCATCAGCCCGAGACAGCACTGGTCGGAAGATCTCCCGCCATCTTCACCACTCCCTCCTTCTAGTCCATTATTATCACCTGAAGGTGAGAGGGAGGCCGACTCAGCGCACGGGAACAAACATTATGTTGCGGAATCGGGTGAACCTTCACTAATAGAGGCCAACAAGAATTTCACACCCACACGGGACGCGCCTTCATTTACCCCATCGAGTCGAGGTTTACATCCCCCACTTCATCCCCACTTGCCGCTAGCACCTGATTTTGGGATACACACGTCGCAGTCGCTCTCGCTGCCCGACACCGATCTCTCCGGCTTGTCGTCTATATCTGACTTCGACTTGTCATCTCTGTCAGATTTCGATTTGTCATCTATAACCTCTATGCCGACCGTGTCGCCTCTTTCAACTACATCGCCCATATCGACGGTGTCTGATGTCACCCTCACGATACCCGACTTCGTTAACCTTTCAGGCGGACCGTCCCTCGACCCGAAGGCTGTTCACAATCAGTTAATTCCTCCTACCAGTGATGTCGGAACGGATCCTCCTTTGGAAAATGTTCATCTCGGTGATTTGGATGCTTTCCTCAATGATACATCCTTACACGATGGACTGGCGGGCATGGACTTCGGTGAATTCTGGGAATCGATGAGGCCCCTCATCAACGAAGGCCCGAATAATGCTCAGCTTCCTCAGGGCGGGCCACATACAAGCGAAACAGAAGGAACACATGAGGTCGATGCAACGAAGCTTGCGGAGGACATGCGGTCCCTATTAAGTGGATTTTTGGCCTAGCCATGAATTGTTTGATTTACTTATCATGTAAGAATGTTGAGCCTGTGATATCGAGTAACTACTAGCCAGTGTGGCATGTACTCATTCTCTCATCCTAGTTCAATCTAACTCGGTGCAGAACCAATGTTGATGATCGGATTCCCAGCACCTATGTTACCCATCAGTGAACTTAACAACCGATGTTGTAACAAGGTCCTATAGCTACTTCCAAGAAAATTTCCTCGCGGAACTCAGAAGTACCGGAACAGTTGTAGCGACAGCACTACACGTATCACCCCCATCGTCCCTGGTCTCGACCTTTCCCTCGGCCATAACTCAGAACCCCCTCAGAGCCACGCCCAGACGTCATTGCTTTCGCATTGCGGGACACTGAGGCTGGTCCCGCAGTAAAGTCGATTTGGATACGCTTATTATTGCTACCATTTTGAGCAGCGGTTTGCTGTTCAGAGCGAATTTTTTGATGTTCGGCTTCAGGGACCACGTAATTTGGGCAGTAAATGAGAGCCGAGTGCGCAGGGTCACGGAATTAAGTAATAATGAATCAAGGAGGGCCGGAGTAAATGAATTTTTTTCGCATTGTTGGCGTCGATCGAATACCGCCCGCAATGATATTGCAAGTTCAGCGAGAAAGAAAGAGGCATGAATGCAGTCTTCACATCAGACAAAACATTTCACATACCGATCCGGTCTGCAAACCAACCTTCCTGCAGTTCATTAGGATTCCATAATTCCGGTGGAAAATTGGTTGCACGCTCGTTCACATCGACAAATTCTACAAGTTTTGTGTAGAGGTGCGGATTCCGGAATGAACGGTTGGCCATTAGAGAGTCATTGAAGTGTTTTGGTCCGACGGGGTCCCGCTTGATAGCTAGAAACCCAGCGAGTTTCGCCTAAGAATGCGATAAATAGTATGATTTAGACGCGGAATGAATATAACCCAAGGCCATATGATAACTTACCTCCAAAGCTGGATCCCATGGCTCATTTGTCGCCGGTGGAATCCCCCAGTCAGTAACCCCATTGGTTAAAGGAGGTCGGAGCAGCACTCGTATTCGTGCTAACTCGTCTTGCGGTTCCGAATCGCGCTGCAAGCTCAAATTTGAAGTAGATTCGGGCAAGTCAATGACATCAGCTTTGGCCGGGGAATTTTCAGGTTCAACCGTCTCATTATGGAGACGCGCCCTAGGTCGCGGCTTTGTGTGTGCTGGTCGGCGAATCAGCACTTGTGTCTTCGCACGGGCTGTACATGTATCTCAATTTTAAAGACGCACGATCTTATGAGATGGGATACGTACACTCCGTCAATGTATCAGGTCGAATCTGTAGCGGTTTGTCCTGGCCAAAACGAAGGACGAGAGCAAGGAGGGAAACGATGGAGGAAAAGAATAGCATTGAGCACCCTCACATGATGAGATATCCCCAAAGGCAATGTCTGAGAACTCGAGGCGTGCAAGCCATCCTCCGGGTCGCTATGCGAGTCTTCGTCATATGCAACGAGACCTAGAAAATTTGATAAAGATTTGGTAGGAAGAACACAATGATTGGATTTTGATTCACCTCCTAACATCTCTCTTCACAGATAGATTTGCCGAGGTCGAAAGCCGAAACCGCTGGCAGCTAGTGTGTCCACGACGATCCAATAGTCGGCTATGACTCAGCCTGTGTATGTGACACAGTAGTGCGACCTGCGGTAGCGGGGATGGCCGAAGCACTGACGCCAATTGGGGCGGCTCCGCTCACAACTTGGGAGTTGTAACACCCAATTTAAGTAAGTCCTTTGAGTACTCCTACGTGTGGGCCATGGGTATTATAATATTGACGATCAGTGACAGAAATTATGTTGAAAAGGAAACAATCCAGGATGGACCATAATCTGGGCGCAGGCCGCGCCGGTGTGATTTGAATCCATGAAGCCGTCGCGGCAATTATTAAAGACAACAAAGAACTTAGCGCGCGTTCACCCTTTTCCTTACTTTGAACGGTTGTCGGGAAATCAGCTGAACATGATACGATTTTCTGAAGTTTTAATTTCGACCTCGCACTCACTTCGAAATAGGGGCTCTTTTGCTGCAAAGTCAGACGCACGTTGCATGGTAAATACTAGATACATCTCGTCGTTTCCTCTCTGCAACCGAATTTCCGATTGGAACGTTAACGGCTACAACTCGCGATGCTACTCAATGACATTCAATTATTTTTTTGCCAACCACGGAGAAACAGATGCATTATTCTCACACAACCCTCAGCTAGCCCAAACTCTCAAACCAATTACAGAAATAGCAAGGCAACTTATTGAATCCTCTAATAGCCTGTGTATGATTCAAGATCTATGAGATATCAAGCTGCTTGCTAAAATCACTCGCAGAAACCCATTGCAAATATAACTCTCAGCAGCAACAAAAACAGTCCTGGCTAGGGTAGATGCGAATGAGATGAATGTGTCATTCTTGTTGACCTTGTGGCAGCTTACCCGCAACAATCTGCGCAGCAGCAACAACAGTCGTCGCAACAAACATCTCCACAACATGTATCACAGCAAAGAATCGGCCGATATGGACGTGGCAATGGCCGGGTGTAGATGGGTGTGGGCTGAGGTTGGTACATCATTTGTTGTTGAGGAAGGGGCTGTGAGTATACCATCCGCATTTCGGGGGCTACAGGAACATTCGCCGGTAAGACAGCATAGTCAGTTGATAAATACTTAGATCACTGACGTCCGCCACGGTAACCTCCCCATGGACTATACATCCCACGTAGGTCGTTGGAAGAACGGCGTACGAAGTAGACATTTCCAGGACGTTGGACATTGCCATGGTACATAGTGGAGGAGAGGGAGGAGGAGAGAAGAGGATGGCGGGCTGTGAGAACACAAGAGCAAGAGGGGACGTCACTGAAAGGTGATACTGCCCGATAGTTTCGATGACTCTTATGCCGTCAGCGGAGAAAGTCCAGGCAAGAAACCATTATCTGTAATGAGAAGGCTAGTTGTATGAAGGCCACGATGCAGCGTGGGGAGACATTTGAACGTCAAAGAGGAAACTATGATCCCTGCTTATGAGCAAGCGGGACACGTGTGGCTGTATGAGCGTCCAAGTCTGCAAGGTGCCTTGTACATTAAGAGTTCAGCGTCATATCGAGATGGATAGAATATACGCATGAAGTCAATGTGAGCCAAAGATGTTATCGCGCCCAACGACATGTGGTGGACAGATGCAGACAGTTTGAGATTTGGCGGAAAGCACTCCATTCGGCTTGCACATTCATTGCACAAGACTCCGGCCGGCCCAGTTATTATACTGGCACTTGAAGTTGGAGGGGCGAGACACATCGCCGTCAAATTTTCAATTTTAGATCGATATGAGAAAGACGTACAAGACCATCATAATATGAGAAGGAAAATGAGCAATAGCAGACACACTATAACCTCCGAAGTGTCCTGAGTCGGGACAAGGCTCAAGTTTTGGGAATTGAGCCTGAAGGTTGAACAAACACGATTGGAAATAGGTAAATTATTATGTAAGGCAGTTTTCTCGGAGAAAGCCGGTGGTTACTCAGCCAAGGTGGAAAGGGTTTGTCATCGTTCTGTCCGGCTCAAAAGGCGACGACTCCAGGGTACGCCATCCATTTCTCCCTGCTAGACTGACCACCACACTGTGAGTATGTATTTTCTTCACTCCATCATCTGTTATTTTGCTCGGGGAATGAATTTGTCGATCCGTGCCGACTGGGAAGAGGATGGATGGATGGATACCCCTCCGGATGGCACAGTTCTAATAAGTTCCTCCAGACGCCATCATGGGTCGCCGCCCCGCTCGCTGTTACCGTTACTGCAAGAACAAGCCATACCCCAAATCCCGCTACAACCGTGGTGTGCCTGATTCCAAGGTATGTATTTGGTGGAATTGGGCGTTTCACTAAAATGCTCATTTTGGCCATAGATTCGTATTTTCGATCTTGGGCGCAAGCGCGCTTCGGTTGACGAGTTCCCCTTCTGTTGCCACCTTGTCTCGGATGAGTATGAGCAATTGTCGAGTGAAGCATTAGAAGCGGCGCGCATTTGCGCCAACAAGTATGTTACCAAGACGTCAGGCAAGGATTCGTTCCACTTGAGAGTCCGAGTGCACCCTTTCCACGTAATCCGCATTAACAAGATGTTGTCATGTGCGGGGGCTGATCGGTACGTTTCCGTGTTTATCATTAACAATCATTCGTTTAGTGTTTATACATCTCATAGCCTGCAAACTGGTATGCGCGGTGCTTGGGGGAAGCCATACGGTACTGTCGCTCGTGTCAACATTGGCCAGATTATTTTGTCCGTCCGTTGCAAAGACCAGAATGCAGCTGTCGTCCAAGAGGCACTCCGCCGGGCCAGATACAAGTTTCCTGGTCGCCAGAAGATCATCGTTTCGCGCAAGTGGGGTTTTACCAACGTAAACCGTGAGGACTATGTAAAGTTGAAGGAGGAGAAGCGTGTATTGCAGTGCGTCTTATGGATCATCATTGTGACATCGTGTACTGATTTGATTCAAGGGATGGCGCATACGTCCAGTATATTCGTCCTAGGGGCAACCTGGAGAAGAATCTCCGGGCTCAGCTCCGTGCGTGATTGTCATCATGTACTTTATTGCATTACATCAATGCTATCATGTCCTACTGGTGTAATTGATTCGAGGCTATGGATCGCGCGTTTTGCCTCTTATTCACTACGTCGTCCGTTTTCCATGGTCGATGGTTAGGGGAAATGGGGCATAAATTTACTTTCATCATGATACCCTACAACAGGGCCCTGGAGTAATGGCTCAAGTCTGCTGTAGATGAGGTCATAAGGTGATCTCAATTTCAGAGATTCCAGGATATGAATACATTATCTACGCTAAGTTCTAACATTCATTTCGCTGGTTATGCTACTCGGTACCCGTTGGTAGTAGTATTTAGTTGATAGTGATTTTGTGCCATTCAATAAATGTTGCAATAATGTATTTATACACGCTATTAAGACATGCTATTTACCATGATGTTTCGCTAGCAAGGTGTCCAAGGGAAATTCAATTCATGTGCCGTCGCCTCTCCTCAAACGATTGAATTTGGGCAACATTTCTTTGAGGTAATCAGCGTGCTTGCGTCTGAGGTCTGCTTCTTGAACTTTGCCTCTGCCGCTCCATGTGCGACGTTCAGCTGCTGGACCGTAGATCACGGTATATTCATCCAGTATTTCATCCTCAGCTGGAACAACCAAACAAGCAGCCCCTATGACACAATAGGACGAGATGCGTACTGTGTGATGAATACGGGCGCGGGCAGATATGGTGTTAAAGTTGCCAATACTGGGTGACTCCACACCTGAACATTGGTTGTATCATTGATTGCAGCAGCACACAAGAGAAGAATAGCCTATGCTCACGGCAGCCAATTTCGAACAAGTTATCATCACCAATTCTCATGACTTCCTTTCGTCTGTAACTCGGAGTGTTAATTCCAATGCATTTCCCTAGCACCCATCTGACTGACCGATTCACAATTATTGCCCCTTCCTCGATGATACATCCGGCACCTATCACAATCGGCCCTGCTATGGCAAATATAGTTGCCTTGGGATGCACGATTGTCCCTTCGGAAGAACCTGAGTCGGCTGAAGTATCCCATCAACTAACTTTTCATACCTGCACCGATAGTGATATCGCCCTTTAGCTCAACATCCTGGCACACAACAGCTTTGGAGTGAATTGTGAACTTGTCGCGACTAGGAACACATCAATGTGTCAGTGAGTGCATATTGAATACAATTGTAAGACGGCATGCACATTGGGGGCATGATCGACGGCCAGTGCAGCGCTGTGCAGCGTCGGCAGCACTGGACAGTTACCTCCGAACTTTTGTTGCTGTTGAACTAGAAACGTAGATACAAGAGTCTAAGTCAAAGGGCTTTGACGCTGTTTACAGAGTCGCCCGAGGGTTGCCAAAGGTCCAAGAACACGCTTTGCTGCTCGTGGAGTATTTGACTTGAGTTTATCGGCGGCCCGCGCAGCGTTGACCGCATTGCAGCAGGCGTTTCCCTCCTCACCTCTCTGCTTGATACCCTCTTCACTGCGACCCCCACGCTCCCACACGGGCTCTCTTTCTCCTTTTCTTTTCTACGCTATGGCACCCGTCGCACCTGCTCCGCCTGCACTCCAGGAGGCTTCCCACAACTCGACTGTTGCTTGGCAAGACGACCTCAAAGCGCTATTTACCCACGCGAAAGATCGGTTTCCTGACGTTGTCTGGGAGCTCATTGATGAGCAAGATGGTGCGGCGCAGGGAGCAGAGGAGGTCTGGGGTCACAAAGGTCTGTAGGCTTGAGTATTTGTCGCTTATTGCAAAGACAAGAGCATTCGACTTCTTCTGACCCAGTCGGTCAAATGCAATGCTTTAGCTAGTCTCTGCATTGCATTTGTCTGACTGAGCATGTGTTCAAAATTATGGATCAATGTGCATAGTTTTCCAGCATGTTTTAGCTTAGGGCTCCTGGCATTCTGGCAATGTCCTGATATACATGGCAACTCATGCGACCCTCTCTTAACGTACCTGGTATAGCTGTGGTGTACGCGCGAGCACCCCCAAGTTTTCAAGCTCGATACTTTTCCTTCAAGCCACCACCTCCCACGTCCCCCCATCCGTATTCTTCTTCTCCGACAGGCACACTCCCTGCTCAATCCGCTCTCTCACTTAGCCTTGGGGTCGACTATCCGTCAGTTTCTCGTTCCCCTTCTCCCTTTCGTGCGCCTTCGCCTTCACCTTCAGCCAACCTTGGTGCTCTTCTGCGCATTTCCCGACCCATAAATCCAACATTGTTCTCCAATGAATTGGAGTATCTATACACGGGTATTGGGTTTGGCGAAGCCTTTGAGTTTCTCTTCGACACTTCGGAAAGCAAGGAAGATGAAGAGGAAGAAGATGCAGAGGATGCAAGAATAGACAAGCTGCGCAAAGATCTTGTCTTTATGTGGCGTTCTCGTCTGTTCTCTGACATTCGCATCGCACTTAGCGGTACTTTCTCTTCGACAAATCACGAGAGTGCTACTGCAATTTTCTCATCCCATCGGTTCATTCTCGTGTCGCGTTCGCCATATTTCCAGACCCAGCTGGTTACCTGGGGTGTCAACCAGACACCTGGCGAACCACTGACAGTGACTTTGCCATCTCCCCCCTTTACACCAGCATCTCTCCATTTCACACTCGGCTTTATTTATACAGGAACCCTGGCGTTTTCCAACCGTACGTTTGACCTCGACACCGCCTTCCACATCATGCGATCAGCGACGTACTTATCGCTGGACACGCTGTACGACGAGATACAGGCGCGTATTGTCCAGGAGATGATGCATGGCCTTTTTCATGCCTTTCTAGAGTTCTCTGAGTATGAGGCGATCACGGGACGCAAATGGGGCACTGGAGGTTGCCGCTGTCGCCAGTGTGCGCGGCGAGCACCCAGAGTACTTGAATTTGCTCTCATGGACGACGTGAAGAATCCTCATCTCGAACGTGGTGCCCGCCGTGCTCTCGTGGGGCTATTTGGCGAAGGCTGGTGTACTTCCGAATTCTCGCACTTACCGCAGAAGACGCGTCTTGGGATTCTGCAAGGATTGTCGAAGAGGACAACACCTGAGAATGTCTTCGCCCTTCTGAATGCAGCACAGGCGGCTTTGAGAAGGGTCGAAGGAGTCATAGAACCTTGGGCTGAAGTTGTGAAAGACATGGTCCTTGCGGCCAGGAAGACTATAGATGAGGTATTGTGTTCTCAGGCCGACCAGTTTTTCGAGCAAGATGAGTGGCTAGAAATTATGGCATCTAACGGGGCACATTTCGAGGATGGGGAGAAAGTTGAGCTCGTTATGGAGTCTATCCGACGAGGACTTGGAGAGAAGAATGCTGCTATGCTCTATCAGGTGCGTTCATTAATGCATCGAATATCCTTTTCAAGGCTAATAACTCTGCAGACTTTGGTCTCCTCCGTACTGTTGCGTCCTCATCCAACTGAGAATGACGAAGCTATGCTCTCGTCAACGTCTCACGTGCGTGTTTCCGTAGAGCAGGTTCGCATGGATATTCTCCGTTGGCTCCGACGACGATGGATAAATGTGAAACAAGAGGGTGGATTTGATGCTCTGGATCACTGGGCTGCGACGGAGATCAGTCACGGTATGTGTGCTGTTTGGTTGACTGGCAATAGCTCTAATTTGTATCTCAGAAATTGATGTTTCGATGGAAGATCTTTACGGTTCCGCGCCGGCAATCGGTACACCAAGAGGAGGAGCTGGGAGAAGCGGTACTCGTCCCAGTATAATCAAAACGGATGACAACGAGAGTGCTAGTGTGCATTCATTACGAGCCAGTGTGCTTACGCGTAACACTCCTAAACATGGAGGGGATACGATCAAGTCCTCTGGTGCATCTGTCAAGTCTATAGCCAGGAGCACTCACTCTACCGTGTCACGGACGAGCACCCTTGCAACTTCGCGCCATCATACTCCGCTTTCCGGGCAACGACCCGATTCGAAGCTGACACCTGGAGTTACATCAAGCACACCATCCATGCGCTCAAGTATCACACAGTCGGACAGGACTTCTATCCTCAATGTCACGTCCAAAGCTAGCCGTTCGTCTCTACCGACAAGGCGGAACGTGTCCAGCAGTGTCTCCACGAATGATAGATCGTCGAAGATTCGATCAAGTGCGGCCTCTGTCAAGTCACAGGCATCTACAGTTCGCAGAGGCGTTGCAGGATCATCACATTTAGCCGCGCCATCAGCCATTTCTCGACCCCCTTCCACAATGTCATCGACCACTAGCGATGGCTCCACTGCTTTTGAAACTGCAAAATCGGACCTGCCAAGCTCAGCCGCACGAAGTCGCCGTAATTCTGCGGCATCCTCGGTTTCAACTGTAAGCGTTAGAACTACGGGTACGTCAACGCCCAGGGTGCCGAGGATTCGACCATCTTCTAGTGTCTCAAAGCAAAGCACACCATCTACAAAGTCCAAACGCCCTTCTCCTTCCCCCATCGATTCCTCTAAATCCAGTCCAATAGCGAAGAGGACGCTATCGACTGCGTCCACTCGATCGACGACATCTACTGCGTCCACGTCTCCAGTGGCCAGACGAGTGATCTCAAGAAAGCCTTCAGGAACTCCTTCTCAGCGCTCGTCTACGACTGCGAACGGGCGAGTACATAGCACTGATAAGGAGGCAATAGCAAATGTTATCACAAGCAAAACAAGAACATCCGCAGGGGTCTCGCATGAGAAGCAGGCCAGCGTTGTGTCATCAAGTAGCGCATCTACTGTAAAGGAATCTTTGAAGCGCAAGAGTTCATCAGATACGATCAAAGAGTCATCTCTGCCTGTTAAGGCGACGAGTGATATTCCGCGTGGAGCAACTCTTGATATTGGCATACCATGCATCATTTCGTCTAAGAAGGCTCGATTCCGTGCGTACGCCCGATATATTGGCGAAGTTGAAGGTGAAGCAGGGCCATGGGTTGGAGTAGAGGTGCCTGTCAACGACAGCTGGCCCGGCGAGAAGCTCGAAGGGCGGCAGTGGCACGATGGGACCTGGGGCGGCATCCGATACTTTGACATAGGGAGCATGTCTGAGTGGGAATATGGCGACGATCGAGCAGCGAGGCGCCGTAGGATTGACTGGGTCAACAACCTAGGGAGGGATCCGAAGAACACACTGAAGAGGGAGGGAGACCAGCTAAGCATCGAACGCGCGAAGAGACTACGCAGTGTTTCTCCTGCGGTTTCTGATATGTCAAACTCGGAGTCCAGAGGATTATTTGTCAGACCTCAGCAGGTGTTGTACGTCGTAGATGCGGTCGGCTCGGATTTATAATTCGGATAAATTGGGACAGGTTCCGAGTCACTGTTCCCTACGGATTCCACAGGGCATTTACATACCATACCTTCATTATACTCTCGCAATTCTGTACTGCTCTTTTGCTGCTTTCTGGAGTTAGGCTCTGCTATTCATTAGCGTTTATTTTATAATGTGTTCCGCTATTGTCTACATTCCTTCAATACCATGTTTCTAATTTTACGCACAATTTTCCACAAAGAGTTGAGCTTTGCTGAAATTGGAACTGCCAGTGCTAGCCCAATTTGTGGTGAGTTATACTAGTCATTCCAACAAGAAACTCTGCATTGGAAGTGATTCTCTCAATGAACATCAACACAAGTTTCCAAACATGTATCTACAACTATTTCCACGGGTTAAATAGAATTTTCCCGCACTTCCCCTTGTCGAACAGCTCATAGCTCTCTGCTGCTTCATCCAAACCAACTACTTTCTCAACCAGATTAGCTTCCCCGCCCACGTCTCCAAAGATATCCTGTCGCTTCAAAAGAATATCGAGAGCAGTAGGGAACATGGCGCGTACGGGACAGCGGCCAAAATCGAACGATACATTCTTGTCATAGAGTTCGCGGCCAGTGAAGGGCATGGCGGGCTCCTGATGAACTCCAACAGAACTGATGAGCCCAAACGGACGCACGAGCTCATAAGCCAATGTTAAAGCACTGGGATTTCCGACAACCTGTGCTTCTTTCAGTAGACTTCCACGGTATGATATTCATGTAAAGTCACCTCCAGGACAGCATTGCATCCCACATCGTCTGTCCAGTCGCCAATAATCCTCTTGCCGTCTTCAATTGACGATACTGAAAACTTCCGGCTTGAGCTTGTTTCCTTTTTGCTTATGATTGTGTAGATGGCCTCCATCTTCTTCCTTCTGGACTCAACAGGGTCTATCGCAACCACACGATAATTGATCCCTTCTTTCGATTCGAGGCCAGCGAGCATGTCCAAAAGACTCACAGCCGCACACTAAAATGAATTGAAAATGACTTGAGAATCCTGAGCTGGGGATACGGCTACACTCACCACTCCAACAGGCCCCAATCCAACGATAGCCAGTGTCAACTGACGATCTTTGTGCTGCAGCGCCGCAGACTCTGAACCCGCTCCAACGATCAAGCTCTCCGGAATAAAACCACTCGAGGGATATGCGGACCTGGTCAACATAGGGGATAATTTCGGATGCTGCAGCGCTTGGAGAGCGGCAAATACACCTGTCGGCAGGATATCCGCAAGTAAAAGCAGAGAGCAATCTGCAAGCTGCGAGAGATCGGCATTGTTGGGTGATGAAATAGGCAGGGCGCTGATGCTGAAGAGTGTCCCCCCAGCTTTCGGTATCCGCGCATACTGAGCTTGTCCTCCAGGCAGAGTTGGAATGCCAAAAAGACAAGAGTGGACGCAGCGACAAGTGAAGCCAATACGACAAAAGCTGAAAGCTGTCGTAAGAGCGCGGCCGCAAATACGTGATACCAAACTCACTGGCACTCGCCACATGAAATGGTGAATGGCGATACCACTTTGTCACCGAGTTTCAGAGTAGAATACAATGGGGGTCTGCCAGCTGCCTTAGGATGAAAATTAGAGCCCAGCGCAACAACCTCTCCGACCATCTCATGTCCGCAGACTAAACTAATATTAAAATATTGTCAGTCAATATAGATGTGCGGTAGGTCCATGCTCACACGTCGTGAACATCCTCATGTCCCCTATAGATGTGAAGATCGCTTCCACACAAACCGGCCAACTAAGGTCAATGACAACTGTTATTGGTCGCCATTATACTTATGTGAAGGAAGCAACTCGCTTTGATCTTTACGATAGCATCATCAGGTTCAACGATCCTACACAGATATAGATTCGACGGGTCATGGAGACTCGGTTAAAAACGTGCAGCTCACTGAGGTATGGGGACATCCTCTACCCGAATATCGTATGCCGGGGGGTGCCAACGCACAGCACGCTGCATTCCGGAGAGCACCATTGCGAGAGCAGTCTAGGCGGCCGTGGCCTTGGGCCACACGCTCAAAAAGCTAGTGCAGCGTGACATGACCCGGTCGCGTCCCGGGTGCTGAGCAGCGGGAGAGGAGCCCCGCACACACGAAATCGATGACAATCACTAATGAGTGATCACGCTGAAGCTGCATCGCCAAAACTCACTATATTGGCCCGGACCCGTTGCCCGTTTATGCGTGCCCGAGAGACGAAATATATACGATCCTATGATATAGTAGTCCGAGGTCTGCTTGATATGTAGAATGAATGAGGAATAGAAACATCAATGAGTGTAGATGAGCGTGAGCGCATACGTCAGAATAACTTAACCAGAGACGAGACCGTAAGAAGCATCACACAGCCCAAAATGAATCCGGAACAGCCAAACGACTGAGAGAAACGAAGAAATGATTACGTGACAAGTATTCAAGTCATATAACCAAGATAATAGTCCTATATCCAAACCGCACGCACCACAGCTACACCATAAGGAACCTCACATTATTATGCACTCTTTTTCTTCAAGTTTCGCTGGGACGATACCCATCTCCTCGAACGTCTGCGGCCCGCGAGGCTTAGGCGTCTGAGGCGCTACAGGTTCTGAGCTCATCTCTCCATCATATGGCACAGCTGACCCATTCGTCCCCTGGCGTCTGCCTTGCGAAGGTGCCGGAGAAGCCGGTTGACGCGCGCCAGGCGAACTTGGGCGCGAACCGGGGTCGACGAGACTGTAACGCGGTGCGTTGGCGAATGGTCGCACCGGAGCCTGTAAGGCGCCCCCATTCTGGGGGAATTGACCAACAGTTGGCGAAGGTGCAGGGGCTCCCCCATACCCGCTATTCATCTGCGCCTGGTCCTGAGCACCAGGAGAACGGACATTGAGAGCGCGGACATTGCTGACTATCTGCTCGCTTTGCATCGCTCCTGCGGCAGCAGGGGCTCCTCCACGGCCGGCTCCGGCGACGCCACGCCGTGCGTCAGAACGCTGGCGCGCGAGCGTCCGCTTACGCACGATGGTCGTGTCGGCAAGTGTCTCGTGCTGTTCACGCGAGAGCGCATGAGGTGATGGTTGTGATAGCGCACGGATACGCTCCGCAGCATCGGTGTTGCCATGTTGTGCTGCCTGGTATTGAAAGACACGTCGGGGTCAACAACGCCGTCAACAGGGGAAAAATTAATATAAAGTACTCACTCTTGTGTACCACTTGGTCGCAGACTCGATATCTTTCGGGCCACCGACACCTACCTCCCCATAATACCCCATCGCGAACTCAGCACTAGGCAGACCCTTACGAGCAGCTTTCTCGGCGAACGTCCAGGCAAGCGCTTCATCGCGCTCGAACGCACCCTCAGCACCACAGAGGAACCATTTGCTCAGTGCCATATCCGCCTCCACCTCGCCCTGTTGGCTGGCGAGCGAGTAGTATTGCACACTGAGCAGGGCGTCGAACGGAAATGGCGGCAACGCAAATTCATACGCATGGCCTAGTTTGTACTGTGCAGGTGCAAAGTTGAGATAGGCCGCGCGCTCCAGGTTTTTGCGCGCCTCCATTTGTGCGTTGGAGCCGGGGGGGATGAATGGCTGGAAAAGCGGCAAGGGTATGGAGACGTGTGAGAATTCGTTCAGAAGGAGTAGGCCGTAGACGTAAGCGGGTTGTGGGCACTCAGTCGTCGCAATTGTCGCAGCGCGATGAAGGAGAGGGAGCGCGGCCTCAGCGTTAGCAGGAAGCCCAAGTTGGCCCATGAGATTCGCCATGCCCATGCGCTTTCGTTGCAAACGACGGTCAGAATAACATTTAGAATCAATTTGATCAAACCATACTTACATAGATGCAGCTCTCAACACCGCGCTTCACGCCACGTTCGAAGCACTGCTTTGCATGCTCGGCGTCATTAAAGTTCTCGTAGTCCCTGCCAAGACGGAACCAGGCGGCGTAATGACCGGCCTTAGCTGACTGTTCAAAATGCCTGAAGGCCGACCGAGGATCGCGCTGAATGTATTGGGGGTATGCACCAGAAGCCTCACAAGTAGCCACAAGATATATGGCCTCAGAGACAAATGGTGGCTTGGGCGTTTCTTGTAGGGAAGAGACCTGGGCAAGCAGGGGGAGGGCAATGTCTACGAGACGCTGCAGCTCAGGATCGTCGATGCGTGCGGGGCCGGTGGGGAACTCTGTCGCAGAGCTGTCGCTGATGGCAAGCTGCTGAGCGCGATCGACCAGGGCGAGTACATCACGACACCAGGCTATTTTGAAGGCGGGGTCGAAGTGTGGCTGTTCGACGGAAGGTAGCTGAGATAGAAGAGTGGGAATAGTTGGAAGAGGCGCAGTGAGGGAGGGGGGAGCAGACGTGTTGGCAGGCTGCTGCGGAGGAGGCATTTGGGGTCCATGCGTCGAGTAAACAGAAGCAGTACGCATGGGACGGGCGTGATCTGAGATGGAAGAGTTAGAAAAGGACGAGTTTAAAGAGTTATTATGGCGGGGATAATGGCCGTTTTGTGACGGGTAAGCAGGATTAGGCTGAGGAGGATACTGCTGGATGTGCGGCATGCGACCGGCCTGATGGGGTTGTACAGGAGCCCACGGGGTCCAGTCTGGGCCTTGCTGTGGAGGCACAGGAGGCCCTCTGCTGTGAGGGCGATGGGGCATAGCAAAGCCAGGAGAAGGATTAAGATGGGGAGCGGGGGACCTGCCTCTGTGGTATGCCTCTTGGGACATCTGGTCGTCGAGGTTGCGCGCCATCTAGAGACAGATGAGACGCGATGGGAAGATGAGTCTGTCAGTGAAACGCACGTTTGCGGGAAGATCAGGCTGGAGTTTGTGTGGGCGAGGCGCTACGAGAGGGTCCTCGAAGTGAGGGGGAGAGACGGCAGCGTCAGCGGGAGTGAAGCCGGGGGGGAGGGGAGGGATGGGGGGACCTGGGGATGAACGAGAGTAGTGGTCGAGGTAGTCGTCGTAGGCATTGAAAGGACGGGGGGGAACGGGAGGGGCGGCCATGGCGGCTCGACAGGCGACACGGAAAAGAGGCGAAAACAAAAAAGCGAGGGACTGGTCGCCAGTCTGATGCGAACCGCGGCCGGCTAAGAATACTTTTGCGCGTTCGCCATCCCGTGACGTGACGTGACGTGACAGTGCTGCAGTGCCCCCTCGCACTGGTTAGGGTTTCCCTCAAGGAGTCGCCCTCGTCCCTTCGACAGTCACTGGCTTGAACTGGCAGCAGCGCACATCTCTGGCCACCATCTTGACTGATCCACGCCGTCAACGCTGCTCGATTCAGACATCTCCCACTCACTTCCCCAATGTTCGTCGTCACTCTAATCGATCCGGGTCCCATGCTCTCCCTTGCTGGGCTCCCACGGCTCCATGCATCGGGTCCGGACGCACCTCCTACACTCATCTCGACGTCGCGGCCCTCACACTGCGCTCATCGTGTAGCAGCCAATTTTATTTGAACAATTTTGTCTGCCAAACTTGTGTCTCCCCATCCGCCGTTCCTGAGTCTGCCAATGTCTCTTGCGGACTGATCTGCGCATCACTTCTCGGCTCGTCTCGACGCTTGGCTATGGGATCCTTCCTAACCCTGCGTGCCTCACCGTCTATCCAGTCAGCATCCGCACGTTCCGCATTTATCCCGTATACGTTCCCGCCGAGGAATGAGCATACTGCGGACGTACGTTGCCACCGCGTCCGCTGCCCCCAGCGCTCACCAAGCCTGTCGTGTCACTCCACCCTCGGACAGTACTGGCAGCCACTAGACCGGTCCTGTGCTGCTTGGCATTTGAAACGGCGTCGCACAGTACAGCGCTGCTGCTGCGCGCGGGGAGCTTCCCGTCTATGAGGCGCACGCGTGGAACGCGTGTAGGCATATGTACCTCACGTACTCGGGGCCGCTGCGGCGCACTGCCGCGTACTAACAGCCTGAATAGGCTAAGTAGAGCCTGACAAACTCGCAACGTCGTACCCTACGGACATGCAAGGTCCCTACTTAACCGGCAACACTCGCATCTGCTCGCCTGTATATCATGTAGACTCAATCCTGTTGCGTACTGAGTAGTGGTACTGGGCTCAAGACCCCCCGCCAGCTAACTCAATGTGTGCGTTCCTTATGTGTCTTTACTTACTCATTTCTTTCGTGTGCAGGCGCAAACTTTGCCATGCCGCAGTTTGTGGAAAGTTTTGGCTCCTTCGGAGTGTTTAGTTGAGTGCATGTAGTACCGGTTGTATTGGAGGGATTGGTTACATCGCTGAGAGGAAGTGTCGTACTTGCCGACGGACACGCGATCTAGGATCGATCTCATTGAGGATTCATACGGTCTGTTCATTCCAGGGAACCTGCTAGTGCTGACTGTAATCCCGACCGGGTGCGACAAATTTTCCGTAACGCTTCGAACCCTTAGTCACTCTCCCCTACATTCCCTTAGCCGCGGCGCATCTGCTGACGACGCAACACGGCCTCTTCTCCTCGTCTTCAAGTTCTGACTCAGTCTGCGTTTGAGCGCTCCCCCTCACATCAATGGCATCAGCGACGCTTGATCTTGTGTCCAGACTCCACAGCGATACTGGCAATATCAGACAGGTTCACTGGCAACCGGCACAGCCTGTGCATGGCATCTTTCGTCCCAAGGGGTCGTTGGATGTGCATAGTGCACTCATGTGAAGAATTAGGATCAGCATTAACGATTACAGCGAAGGCTTGTCAACCACTGCGGCACCGATCTCGATCGGAATGTCGATGCTATCATATAATCCCCTTGGAGAAATCTAGAGAAGGGCATCCAAAATCATGGCATTATTCCACTCTACCACCCGGAGCCAAATTCACCGACTTTGCTGTCACAACGCTACATAATGCGCGTCCAACTGCTACTCGGCGGCATTCCGTCAAACCTAATGCCAACTGTTGAAATCAAATCAAATATAATATGGCCTCTCTCCGGACATGTGTCCTGATCCACGGATTCTGGCAGGTCGCAATGCAAGTCTTCTCGGTACAGTTCAACTGGTCTGATGTCTGTTTACACATACCGGCCCTGCCTTGCAGACACTAAAAGGAGCAAGAAAGCAGAAATACAAGATCCTGTGAATATTGGTTTTTCGAAGTGCGAGGTGGGACCTTCCATTGTATCTACCGTGGAAGATATCAGTCCGGCCGTCAGTACAACCTGAGCATGGTCGTTGGGGGCGACCCTTACTAGTAGTCATGTGTACGACCGGCAAATTTAGACACTTTACCTGCCTGTATATGCTGATCAAGACCAGTAATACCACACTTTTCGGTATGAAATATATCCTGATATCGCGTCCTAGGATATATTTGTGTCATCTCACGTCGTGAAGTCCAGCACTGCCGCCCTTGGCGACACAAGTATATGCTGGCCTAATTTGGTTTTTGTTACATCTGACCAGATATATTTCGCGCTGATGCTACGTAGAATCGGCGGACATGGTATCGTGCAATAGTATCTGCACAATGGTCCATCCACCGTTAACAGGAGCAGCATCCACCATGACAACTGACCACATTTATCAATTCTATCACCAAACTTGATGCGCGAAACGATTATCTGCGCTGGTGGTGATTGACAACTATAGGGATGAATAGATGTGCTCAGATAATATACCCTTGGTCTAAGATCAACCCATGTCCCAAGCATATCTGAGCATATCCATCTATATCTGTACATCACCTTACTTTATAAGATACCTTTTTGAGTATATACTAGCAGTATACCCGTGCTTACGCACGGTTGCTTCATCGTTGATTTCGAGTAATAGTGC